GGGACACGTGAACGGTCGTTCACTTAGAGTTTGTATACTCTAGAGGAAATAAACTTCCTCTGCACAAGGTGCTGTGTGACCCCGTCACAGTCAACGTGCTGTGGCGGATGCACTGAAGATGGAGGACATGAAGTATGGGACCTAGGCTCTAGTACGAAGCTCATTGAGCATGCTCGAGTATTATTTGCTTCGTAGGTAATCTCACTTGTTGTGGGACAGCCCAAACTACCATAACAAAATCTAGCCCAAAATAATGTTTGCAGTTATAAACGGGTTATGTCTCTTTTTGGTTTGTTTGCTGTCTCACTTTGCTCCAGCATAGGTGTAGCAGCTTCCAGACAGGCAACCAGCTGGTGATCGTCAAATGAACGGTAGTCGGCTGCATAAACAGCGCATGCGTCATTGCATTGACCTCAACAAATTTTGTCTTAAAAAAGAGAACGAAATAAATTTCAAAAGCGTCATATTCCGGGTGATTTTGTCCTCAAGACCCCGATTATAAAGGACAAAAACCGTGTGCGAGAAGAGCAATTCCCTCTGTCTGATATTACAGCTGAGACAGCCGACGACAGTTTGCAAAGGGCTAAATTTTCATTTGGTTATGTTATTGGATTCGAGAACTTTTGTTCTAAAGTAAAGGACAAATCGCCCTCTGTGTAGGTATTTCAGACATCTTACGGCTTAGCAGTTCCCGCAGCAACACAAAGGTTTAGCATAGTTGCTAACACGGTTGTAAGGAACGAAAAAAGAGCTACATTTCTACATACGTTCACTTGAGCCTCTACCAAAACTGATGCCACTCAAGATCCTCATCTTTTTGTCCTCTTTTTTGTCATTAATTTTTCTTGTTGAGGTTAATATGATGGCGCCACATGGACCATGGGGAAAGCAGGACCCACACTCCAAAAAACCAGCAGCCCACACATTTTTAGCTGCAGCAGCTTTCCACTGCTGTCGCCCATACGATGCCGCCCAGAGGCTGCCAGAGGCAACACACCCGAGCTGCCACACGCGAACGCCGCCCACCAGAAGCCGGACAGTCATATTTCAGCTCTCCAGAAGCCGCTCGGTCGGTCCACCGCCCCTCCGAAGTCGCTCATTCTTGCCGCAACCACGCAGAAGCCACCCAGTTAAGATTGCCTTGGAGTATGATCGATCGCATCATTTTCGCGGAAAGAACAATCGTCCAACATCATTCTTTTCGCAGGACTGATCACGCTCGCAGTCCGACAACAATCAGCAGCAACAACAAGTCGCATCTTCAGGTGTTCAGAAGAACAAACCCGAGCCAATGGAAATTAACTCCGGAAGTACTAGAAACTGCCACTTCTCTTTTTCTTCGTTGGCTCGTAAGAGATGTCGCAATTGCAAGAAACCTGCTCATACCAATGAGCAGTGCTTCAAGGTGAAGATCAAGGAGAAGTATGCTCGAAAGAATCGTCACGAGAACTCTGCCGCGAACAGTAATATTTTCTTCTTCATCCACGACTGCCGCTGCTGAGTGTTCCTCTGCGACACGTTTTGATGGCGAGGTTGTGGTTGTTGGAGTGGAAGAGATTTCCACGTCCACCTTGTCGCCCATGCATCGTAAGAATGAACTCATTCGTAAACAAGCGACATGTGATGGGAAGCCTGTCGTCATTATGTTCGACAGTGGTGCTATTTGCAATGTTGTTCGCCCAGGGTTAGTCGCTAACACGACTACTTCTGGTGTTTCACAAGTTACCCGTATCTTGGGATTTCTAAGAAAGTACTTTTGGACACCAGTTCTCTTGCTCTGAGTGGCTACGGTCTGGAATTTTTTTTGCCAATCCGTTGGGTTGTCAACTACCGCTACGTAAACTCGCAGTCGATCGTTCCAAAAATCCCCCTGCCTCGCATTGATAAATTATTTGATCAGATGTCTGGTTGAGTCATCTTTTCCGTTCTCAATCTAGCCCAACGATATCATCAGGTTCGTATCGCGCGCAATACTCGCAAGCATACCGTCTTCCGCACGTATGTAGAAACTTACCAGAGGCGTGTAGACCCTATGGCACTTGTGTCACTTTGACCAATCTAAAGTTACTTTTCTTGGTCATACAATTTCTGCCAAAGGAGTTGCCGCTGATTCTCGCAAGACTGAAGCCACCACAAAGTGGTCTACACCAGTGAACCAAAAGCAATCGCAAAGCTTTTTGGGTCTAAAAGGTTATTACCGTAGTTTTATTTGCGCTTAAGCTGTTCTCGCGTCGCCACATGGTCCTCTAGTCGAGAAAGAACATGTCTTGAACTAGTATCCAGAACAGACTCACTCGTTCGAGGAAACCAACCCGCATAATGAACTACAAGAAGCATTTCATTGAGACAACAGATTCGTCTGGATATTGTTTTGGTGATGTTATCTCTCAAGTTTGTTCAGGTCAAGTCAAGATCATCCAATCACCTTCTTCTCGAAGAAGCTCAGGCCTAACAAGATCATTGATCAACGCACGATAAATATTTTTTCCTTCTCAAGCTAGCGTTGGAAAAATGGCGTCACTACCTGTCTGACTATGAATTCGATATCTACACGGGCAGCAGTGCATGTAAGTGGTTTTTGCAAGACCCAAGGGTCTCGCATAAATTGGCTCGCATTTCTTACTTTCTTCGCGCAGTTCACATTAAAGTTGAACCACGTTAATCGACACCTCAATGTGGTTGTTGATGCACTGTTGGGCTAACCTTCAGAGATTCCGATTAGCACAGTTTTCTTTCATCAGTGTACTTGATGCTGTCATGCCCGTCGAGCTCGCAACTTCGGCGTGTTGCTTCGCACTACCGCAGTATCAACTAACACTTGGTTCGACCACCTTCGCTTCCTCAATTTCGTGAAAGGATGTTGCTGCTAATTATTCCACGCGTGCTTTGCTGAACGTGGCTTATGCCTATCGACATGAACCGCTGGAAGTTCCGCGTTCTGCTGCTGCTGAGAAAAGTGTTCTGGCAATTAATGTGACCCGTCAAGCTCAAAATTATAGCTCACTCGGCTGTTCTGATTCGGTTAGTAGAGAATTTGCGGCTCGATATCGCAATGATCTAGATTATGGAGATCGTTTCAAGCATCCGGAGCAACCGTATGTCAAACAAAATAATTTTCTTTTTTGCAAGTCTCAGACAATGATGGGTTTGTGTGTTCCGTAATCTGGGGATAACCATTTTCGCACGCCCGGCATATCCTGCTTCAACGACTCCAACAGTGCTGCACATCCTGGATCTCTTTGAACGTACCTTCGCATTGCACAACGGTTTCATTGACCCACGTTAGATCTAAATGTTCGTGGGAATGTGCAAAGATGTTCGCGGGATACGAAGTAACGCTAACAAGAATCGCAGGATGATACCGATTCCGACTCCAAAGGAATTCTAATATGTGGCAGGGTTCAACCAACCTATACCCCACTCGCCCGTGAATCTAGACAGTGCGCTAGTTGTGTATTTCTGGCCACCGTTGAGCAAGATAATTATATAATTATATATATATAGAGAGAGAGAGATAGAAACCTATAGTGCATCTTCATCTTGGTGTCGACAGAACGCAAAAACCAAACTCGGCTAGTGTTTACTTCCATCGAGCTTCAATAACCATATCTCACTCTCGGTGAACCTGCCTCTCCGCATATTGATAACCCACAGACATCAACAACTATGACAAAGTGGAGCCCACCGAGGCGAAATGACAGCATTCTCTGGTCGAAAATAATAATAGTGAGCTATCATCCATGCGATCATTTGATCACCAAAATAATGTTTTCTACGTTTGAAGAAAATGTTATTTTAGCGATGAAATAAAAACGATAATACTATATTAGTTCGAATGGAAATCGTTCTACTATCAATCGCGTTGGTCCAAGGCCTAACAGCAAATATAAAAGTGACATTGCGATCAGATCTGACAACGCCAGGGACAGCAGCACTTGCAAACTCGCTTTCTGTTGATCTAATATGACGGGATCTTTATTACTCTATCTGTTGAACGTACAACTAATGAGAGCAAATGATGTGAATAAACTGGTAAGATGTCGATCTACTAGTGACTACCGTCATTTCCATCTTATTTGTGGAAGATCTCACGTTGTGACTATTGCCAGCGGTCAAGGACATACCCATCGCCGTCGTTCATGACATTTACCTATTAGTTTGGAACTCCTAGTGGCTGATCGCAAGGGACTGGCATGCAATTTGTCATTTCACTTGAAAAATATGTTGACTTGCTTGAAATCCAATTGCGTACAACACAAGGCGGTATCGACTCTTGGCACTAGCAGAACCAGGATAAGCTGGTTGGTTAGAATCTTAATAAAATCTATATTTACATGTATATTATGGATCCATGTCTACTGTAGTCACGATCTGTCCGCCCAATAACCGGCACTTATACGCTGGGATTTACAATTATTACAGTACGTCTTTAACCACAGTTTCCGCAACACAATATTATGCTACTATGCGCTACTTAAAGCCATTAGGATATCGACAAATTTGCGAGCAGCATCATGTGTTATAACGAATTTAATTGCATCGAGTGTTTCCACAAGAAACATACCTGAGCATTCCTTTATCCACGTTGGTCATCCCAGATTAAACACAATCTGCCACCTACAATACCATTGCGTTGATGCTTGCAGCAACGAGTCCCGTGAAGCCTACGCCGAATGTAATCGCGAGAGCTATCTTAAGGTAGCGCCACTTTGAGGGATTCTTCACGACCTCTTGAGCAACACGCTCCGTTAGTTTCGCGGCCTGCTTCTTGTCAATGTTTCCGAGTTGCCCAGATGCCTTCAACTTGTCGAATGCACTCTTCCATTTTCCTGAGGCTGTGTTCAGAGGCTTGAGCTGCGCCCCAGATTTTACCTTACTGCCGACATCTTCCAACTTCTTTGCAGGGTTAGTTGCGCCTTTGGCTGCTGCTTGATACTTGACAATGGAGTTTTCATTCGTAGCAGCACTGATTCCGCCTCGGAGATTGCCCGTCCATGTTTTGGCGATATCATCAACAATATCGTCGATCTCTGTGATTTTGACTTCTTCCTTAGCAATGTACGTGGTGCACATCAATGTCGCGTCACACCACACCATCCATACGTGTGGCACAATTGCATTGGTAAAAACACACCAAACTCGGGTGTCTACACACCACTCATTATTAGCGAATCACGACCTTAGTTAAGACAGTGACTGGGCCAATCGCCGTCTTTAAAGCCATTTCCTAACAGCCTTCATCCAGCAAAACACTGAACTCTGGACTCCTCCCTCCCTCCCTTCTCTCAACGAAAGATGCCCACAACGACCATGTGGACAACTGTCTGTAGCGACATGGCTCGTGAGGACTCCCAGCTGCTCATGGAAGACATGAAGGTACTCATCGTTGTCAAGAGCCAGCTAGTTCCATGCGTCGTGTGCGCGCTGACCAAGCCAAACAAGATGCGTTAC